GATAAAAATAAAGTAATGAGAAAGGGAAGGAAGTAAGGATAAAGAAATATGAAAAGGAGAAAAAATAAAAGATGAAAGAAACGTGAGATAGTAAGCAAAAAAGATGAAAGAAAAGGCAAAAAGGCAAGTCTAAAGAATAAAGACTAAGAAGAAAAATAAAATAAGGAGAAGAAAAAAAGGAAGAAGAAAGAAAGAAGACTGAGAAAGAAAACGAAAAGATAAAGAAAAAGTTAGAAAAAAGAAAAAACAAACGACAAGAAACTAACGAGAATGAAAAATAAAGGAAAAATAATAATCGAAGGAGAAAGAAGAAAGAAATAAAAGAGAGAAAGGAGAAAGAAATAAAAGAGAGAAAGGAGAAAGAAATAAAAGAGAGAAAGAAGAGAAAGAAGAAAGAAATAAAAGAGAGAAAGGAGAAAGAAAGAAAAGAGAGAAAGGAGAAAGAAAGAAAAGAGAGAAAGAAGAAAGAAAGAAAAGAGAGAAAGGAGAAAGAAATAAAAGAGAGAAAGAAGAAAGAAAGAAAAGAGAGAAAGGAGAAAGAAATAAAAGAGAGAAAGGAGAAAGAAAGAAAACGAAATAAAGGACAAAGAAATAAAAGAGAGAAAGAAGAAAGAAATAAAAGAGCGAAAGAAGAAAGAAATAAAAGAGAGAAAGAAGAAAGAAATGAAAGAGAGAAAGGTGAAAGAAAGAAAACGAAATAAAGGACAAAGAAAGAAAGGACAGAAAATATAAATGTTCGGAGAACGAAAAATTAAGGTAAGTACAAAGGAAAAAGTGTAAAAAGAACGAAAGAAAAAAATGATAAATAATATCTAAGTAAAAAGAATGAAAAGAAATGAGAAAGAGAAACAGAGGAGAAAGGAAAAATGAGGCACAAAAAAGAGTGAGGAGAAAGAAAGTGAAAAGAAAGAAAATTAAAGTAGAAAAAACTGCAAAGAGAATGACAAAAAGAAAAAAAAGTAATGAAAAAGAAAGCAATAAGAAAGAACAAAAGTAAGACAGAAAGCGAAACCGAGGTTCAAGTAAGATAAAGTTAAGGGAATGAGAGAGGAGGAAAGAAAGAAAGTAATGATAAAGAACAAATAAGGAGGATGACAATTAACACACGAACAAAGAAAAGAGAAAGAGAGAAAAATAAAAAAAAATAAAGACTGACAGAATAAAGAAAAAACAGGAGAAAGAAAGCAGAAAGATAAAAAGGAAAAAAAATGAGAAAGAAAGATGAAAAAGAAAGGAGAAAGAGAGATAAAACTAAGAAAAAAGGGAGAAAGACAAAGGAAGGATAAAAATGATAAAAAGTAGAAGGAATAACAAGTATGGAGAAAAAAAATTCAAAGAATGTATGAAAAAGAATGAAAGAAAGTATGGAGAAAGAATGAGAAAAGTATGGTGAAAGACCAAAAGAAAGTATGGTGAAAGAATGAAAGAAAGCATGGAGAAAGAATGAAAGAAAGTATGGTGAAAGAATGAGAGAAAGTATGGTGAATGGTGAAAGAATGAAAGGAAGTATGGCGAAAGAATGAGAGAGACTGTGAAGAAAGAATGAAAGAAAATATCGTGAAATCATGAAAGAATGTGTGGTGAAAAAATAGAATAAAGTATTGAAAATAAATGAAAGAAAGTGTGATGAAAGAATGAAATAAAGTATGGTGCAAAAAAGAAAAATTATAGTGAAAAAGAAAAGTATGGAGAAAAAATGAAAGAAATTCTGGTGAAAGAATGAAAGAAAGTGTGGAGGAAGAATTAAAGAAAGTATGGTGAAATAAAGTATGGTGAAAATATAAAAGAATGTGTGGAGAAGAATGAAAGAAAATGTGGAGAAAGAAAAGTAATGAGAAGATAATGGAGAATGTATAGAATATATTCTCCCGTACTGTGCGACCAGTAAGTGAAACACAAACAGACAATTCCAAATTAAGTGATTTCTGGAACTTGATTGGATATGGCAATTCACGTGATGTGCTCTTATCTATGTGAACCCTACTGAACACAAAATGGCCTGGAAATAGGTCAGAGCACGGATTATTGAGTACATTTCTGCGCAAAACTCTGATAGTATTCGCGAGCCGACCATCGGCTGTGAAATAGAAATAAAAACTTCTCGTCAGAAACATCCAGCGACCAGATCTGCAACGAAGTAAGTGAAAGACTGTCAGCCAAAGACTCAATGAATCAGGTCAGACCCTGCCTCGATCAACAGTTAGGAGCATATTACCGTCTCTCAGCGATTATTTTATACATACAACGCCACGACGAAATTAAGTATTGTCTCCCTTCTCTTTGTTCACTGTGTTTTAAAATTACAGTCATCGCACGTAATCAATCATCAGTCACACACATGTTTTATTAGCGTATCCTACAGACACACACACACACACATATTGGCCTACCATACCACTTGACTTCATTCGAAGTTATATCGAATACGCGAACCATTGATCTCTTCATGGCTACAAAAACACTTCCAAACTTTGCAGAATCACTTGCGACAAATCACTTGCGACGAATCACTTTGAACAATCGAACTTCTCTTCATTGCCACAATAAAGACCATAGATTTTTAATATGTAAATACATGTATAAATTTTATTTTCATATATAGCCTGGTCTTCTTCGTTTTCTATGAAAATCATTTCTCCGGGTTGTTTATAAATTTTGTGTCGTATTTGTGGACACAACATTCGAATTTCATTTTACACCTAAAATCCAGGTAGACTGACCCCACAAGTGGAAAGTAAAGTGAAAATAACGGAGAAAGAAAAGTAAGGTCATTAGAAATAGAGAGTGTAAGTAAAAAGGAAAAAGAAAATAAAGGAAATGAGGAAAAAGAAATAAGAAAGATAAGCTAAAAGAAAGTAGAAACTATGGTGAAGAAACGGAAGAGTTTTTAAAAAATCTAGAAATAAAATGATTAAGTGTTTTAGTCGGCAATATCTCGATTAAAAATAACAGTATCAAAGAATGCTAAATAATTAAAATTGATTACAAAGAGAAATCAAATAAAAACAGCGAGGATATTGAATGAAAAATAATTAAATAGTGCATGTTGAATGAAACAATTTTAAGTATTGTCAGATAAAAATATCTTTTAAAATTAAATGAATCCACATCAAAGTAGGTAAACATTAACTAACGTCATAACCGAAGCAGAAGGAATGCTAATGAAAACGTGTTAAAATGTATTGAAAACTGTACAATAAATGAAGAGAAATGGAAAACTTCGCAAGTAAATAAGAAACGGGAAGACAGAATTATTATTACATAGGAATAGACAAAGATGAAAAAAATGAAGAAATAAAAAGTCTGCATATGAAGTTAATATTGGCCGGAGGAGAAAGACAGAAAAAACAAGGACAAAAACGGAAAGCGAAAGAAGAAAATTAAAAAAAAAAAAAAGAAAGAAAAAGTAAAGCAAGAGATAGAAAAACGAGCAAACAAATGGAAAGAAGATAAACGAGAAGAAGAAAAATCGAGAAGAAAAAAAACGAGAAGAAGGAAAACGATAAAAAAGCAAAACAAAAAAGAAAAACGAAAAATAGAAAAACGTAAAAAAGAAAAACGATGAGAAGAAAATAAATGAAAAAGACAAATGAGAAGGTGTCAAACAGGAAGAAAAGCAAGAAAGGCAAGAAGAAAAACGAAAAGACAAACAAAAAGGTAAGTGATAAGTTTAAAACAAATGGGTAGGTTTTAGTAAAACCTTTATTTTATCTGAAGGATTTTGAGAATCTTGCAAATGGACAATATTAGAAAATGATACCCAAAAGAAAGGACAATTAGCAAAAATAAAAAAAATATTGAAGAAAAAAGAAAGAGAGAACGAAAAAAAAATATATATGCATTTGCGATTAATCAAAAAAGTGAAAATTAGAAAAGAGTTTTCTTTGATAGATGTGAACTAGATAGAGATAGATAGATAGATAGATAGATAGATAGATAGATAGATAGATAGATAGATTGAATACACGGGTCCACATGGTAACATAGACCTGTTTCGGTGTATATATGTATTTACACACAAACGAATATGTACTAACATGCAAACTCACATGAACAGAAACATGCAAAGATATATATACAGATATCTTCTTATTAATGTTTTTTGACACACCCATATAAGCATAAATAAGTTATAAAGACACTGCTTATTATATACATGTAAAGACAGTAATAAAAGTTAGTAAGAGTGATGGATACACAGATAGACCCATACACAGATAAACCCATACACAGATAGACGCATGAACAGAGAGATACATAGACTGACAGATACATGAATATACAGATACATAGATAAACAGAGACAGATGTACAGACAAATACATAGATATATAGACAGACAGGTTTACAGACCGACAAATACATCAGACACACAGATATACAGACAGACAAATACATAGATATACAGACAGGCAGATACAGACCGAGAGATATACACACTGACAAAAGCATAAATATACAGACGAGTACATAGATATTCAGACAGATATTTATAAATATATGCAAACCGATAAATACATATATACAGACAAATACACAGGTAGACAAATCAAAAGATAGACAGATACAAAGATAGACAGATACAAAGATAGACAGACAGGTACAAAGGCAGATACATAGACAGATAAACAGATGTAAAAATAAACATAAATGTAGACAGATAGAAAGGTAGACAGATAAACAGATAGAAGGGTAGAGAGATAGATACACAAATAAATAGGAAGATAAACAGATAGACAGATACACAGAGAAAGATAGATAAACATATAGAAAGATAGAATGATAGACAAAGAAATAGAAAGATAGACAAATAGATAGAAAGATAGATAAAGAGATAGAAAGATAGAGATAGAAAGATATATAGATACATAGACATATAAACAGATAGAAATATGAATAGATAAACAGATAGAAAGATAAACTAACAGATAAACACATAGATAAACACTTAGACAGATAAACAGAAACTGACATATAGTTAAACAGATAAACAAATAGATCTATAGATAGACAAGCACCCAGAAATAGAAAGAAAGAGATAGATAGATAGATAGATAGATAGATATTGAGAGAGAGAAATAGAGATAGAGAGAGAGAGATTGAGATAAAGAGAGAGAGATTGAGATAGAGAGAGAGATTGAGATAGATAGATACTGAGAGAGAGAAATATTGAGATAGATAGATAGATAGATAGATAGATATATAGAGAGAAAGATTGAGATAGATAGATAGAGACTGAGAGAAAGATTGAGATAGATAGATAGATAGAGACTGAGAGAGAAAGATTGAGATAGATAGATAGATTGATATATAGATAGATAGATAGATAGAGAGAGAGAGACTGAGAGAGAGAAAGATTGAGATAGATAGATAGATAGATAGATAGATAGATAGATAGATAGAGACTGAGAGAGAGAAAGATTGAGATAGATAGATAGAGACTGAGAGAAAGATTGAGATAGATAGATAGATAGATAGAGACTGAGAGAGAAAGATTGAGATAGATAGATAGATTGGTATATAGATAGATAGATAGAGAGAGAGAGAGACTGAGAGAGAGAAAGATAGATAGATAGATAGATAGATAGATAGATAGATAGATAGAGACTGAGAGAGAGAAAGATTGAGATAGATAGATAGAGACTGAGAGAAAGATTGAGATAGATAGATAGATAGATAGATAGATAGATAGATAGATAGATAGATAGATAGATCCTGAGAGAAGTAAAGATTGAGAGATAGATATTGAGATTGAGATAGATAGATAGATAGATAGATAGATAGATAGATAGATAGATAGATAGATAGATAGATAGAAGCACACTGATATAGGAGAAGAAAATAACGAAAGGTTGAATGGACAGATTGAGAAAGAGGAAATCTTAAATCGTAGTGAAAAAAATACAGGCTAAAATAGATTAAATAAAAAAATGAATTCTCTGTGTTTTTGTGTGTGTGTTCGTGTGTGAGAGAAAAAGGGTATAGGACAGAATAGGAAGGTAAACTACAAAATACTTGAAACCATGAGAAGAGCAACAGAGAGAATGATAAGTTAGGGAATGAGAACGATCGGAAAACATAGAAAGAGAGAGAATATATTAGAGAGTGAAATAGTAAAGCGAACAGTGGGAGAAAAAAACGAAAGAGATAGAACAGAGGACATAGAGGGGCAATTGGAAAGGTAAATTTTCGAATAGAGAGGAGTAAAGACAAGAGGCGGGGAAAGTAATAAAGAAAGGTGAGGAGGGGTAACTGCGTTGACTTGAGACTTTAGTAGAAGTAGGAGGAGAGCAACACCGGGGTAGGCAGTTGAGCAGACAGGCAGGCAGGCAGACATCCAGCGAATGAACGATTGCATGAACGAACGAATAGCGAAACGTAAAGATAGAAAGAAAGACTCAAGCAATTACTAATTGGGTTTTCGGCCTGTCCACAACAACGCGGCACATTACCCCGTCTCTCCTGCTGGAGAATCTTGGATACCATCGTGTGGCCAATTCTGTGGCGAAGAGGGCCCCACCTCTCGGATGGAATGATACCCGATAATATAAATACCTCAGTGAATCCCAAATACAGGGATACGCTCCGATCTAGACCTGGATTTAAGGAAAGAACCCGGAATAAGCATGAGGTAAGTGATATGTAACACACACACACACACAAACAGCAACACAAAACAGTGGAACCACATAGAAGCGAGCACCCCCTTTATAAGCACGTAGGAAATATGTTTTTACATTCATTCTTATTATTGTTGTTGGTCTGTGATCCCAAGAATTCTCGTCTCTAAATCCATTACTTTTCTTTTCATTTTTTTTATATCTTTAAGACCATAATTTATAATTATACACAAATCCTTCTATCTCTACTAAGCTGATTCACTTATTTTGTCCATTCTCTTTCTCTCTCTCTTTCTCGCTATATCATTTCCTTCCTCTTTCTGTCACATACACGTTTTAAATATTTCAAACAAAAATAACTTATATTTACGTCTGATTCATAAACAGAAGCAATGCAGGAACTGATATACGCGTTTGCGTAAAATTTTCTTACCTATTATTTTACTATTTGTTTTTTACTATTTGTTTTTTACTATTTGTTTTTTACTATTTGTTTTTTTTTTTACTGATATCTATCCATCTATCACATTCTGGTAATGTGAATAAATCTATTTCACTTTATATCTATTTTTATCTATATAAGTCTCTTCCTCTCTGTTTATCTAAGTCTCTTCCTCTCTGTCTCTATAAGTCTATCTATCTATCTATCTATTTCTTACGTTGTCTTATATTTCAAGAAAATAAACTAAAATAATATTAATAAATATGTACACAGAAAAGATTTTTTCATCAAATCTTAACCCTATTGCCGGCCTAAAACAAATATTTTAAGATAAAATTAATAAGAGTAATACCTCTGTATATATATATATATATATATATATATATATATATATATATATATATATATATATATATATATATATATATATATATATAT